TCTTCCCTTTTCGGTAGATGTATATTTTGTCATTTTTACTGTTGATGATCAGTTGACAGCATAACCATTTAGATAGTCCTGTCCAAAAAAGTTTCTGGCTTTTATATGGAGTTCTTTGGAGTATAAACAGTAAATGATAGTGTGTGTGTGTGTATGTGTGCATAAATACACTTACTATGTTTACTATATGTCTGAAAAAATGTAAATAAGCAACTTTCAAAACAATGTGTGCAAAAGTCTCACGCACGCACGCACACACGCACTTACACACACACACACACACAATACTCCGTATAACTCTATATAAAAACCACAAACCTTTGCAATGTTTTGCTCTGCAACTGATGATCAACTATAAAAATGACAAATTTTACCTTTTCCTAACAAGAAAAACCAATAGAGATCGAAAATATTTAATATACTGTCATGACCTTGCAATTAAAGAATATTGTTATAATGGAAGTCAATGAGGCAAAATCAGCCACAAACATAACAAAAGAGTAATACATTTGCCCAGAGTGTATTGTTGAGGTTTTTAAAAATTTAAAAGCATTTTCCCAAAATATGAGTAAAAATAACATGTCACCAAAAATCATTTCATGAGCTCAAACAAAGAAATCTGTCGCAAAATTAATATCCTCAACAGCACACAAGGCTTAAGAATAATTATGCACAAGTAAAATAAACATCAGCGAATGAAATTCAGTAGAAATGTCACACCTTGATGCAAAATTTATGACTTTTTATGACCTTAAATTGTAAACATCTAATTTAATACTTAAGACTTTTCAAAGACCCACAGGATCTCTGCAAATAAAAAAAAAAAGTACAATAATAATAAAACAAATTTAATTGGACAAATTAATAGACATGTATATTTATTTAATTAGTATTTTTACGTGTCATTAATTAAACCAAAATAATTAAAATATATTAAGTATATTTTAAATTTATAAGTAAATGTACAAATTTAAAACTTGAATTCATACTTTAAAAAAACGTCATGTTTCATTATTAGATTAAACATTTTTGAAGAATTATTCAGCAATACATTTTTGATTGTTAGTACGGCCACCCATTGACCTAAAAATGTAATTCAAGTCAAGTTGCTTTTAAACAGTAATTTTAATCTTAACATAAACATAAATTTTCTCTTTTTTGGAAAAAAGTGGTTTACTTGTAATTCTGTGACTATTTGTTTGTAATTTAGAAATAATAATACTGTTTAGAAAGACTAAAACAGGGGTGTCCAAACTCCTTCTTGGAGGGCCAGTGTTCTGCCGATTTTAGCTCATCCTTGCAGGTGTGTTGAGGCAAGATAGTTTCTAGATCACCAGGTAAGAGCTTGATTAGCTAGCATAGGTGTGTCTAATTGGAATTGGAACTAAAGTTAGCAGGACACAGGCCCTCCAGGACCAAGCTTGGACACCCCTGGGCTAAACAATGAATATCTCTGGGGTCAAACACAGATCTGAACCCAATGCTGAGAACGTCAAAGGATTAAGAAACATATGCAACTTTTAATCATTTAGTATTTTTAGGCATACTAATATTAGGCACATATATTGCGATTTTCAAAAAGTATTACATCGCTTTGTAAATGTTTATTATTACCATTTGTTGAGTCTCCCAATACTATTTGATATAGTCAAGCGATGTGATGTCACACTCAACAAGCTGATAGTTTTCTCACGGTTCAATAACAGTGTGTATTACCATTACAATGCAAGAGTTTGAGGCAAAAGATAATAGGTTGCTCTTACGCGTGTAGTGACCAATGGCATTTTTTTTTAACTTCATGTACAAATATATGGAAATAGAAAGCATTTGAAAAAGAAAAAAGCCATTGACATACAGTGAAAACGCTATTTTCAAATTCTTTAAAATTATTAATTTTGTTTGAGATATTAAAATATTTTGTTCATTGTTCTATTCATACTTTTGCATTGAATTAGTATGCAACTTACTTGCACAAATCTAGCAAGTGTTTGTGCAGCGCAATGTGATTTTAATAGACCATAATGTGTTCAACATTAGGTTCACCTATTAATTCAAATATGGCACTCAAAAAAGTTTGTTTGTCTCATTGGCCACTGTAACCCCACCCTCAGTTCTTTCTTATAGCCCAGGTGCAAGCACTAGTACTATGATGCACTCACCATGTATTCTTTCACCAGGCATGCCTCATCCTCACAAAGGTAAGTAAAGAGAGCTTAAAGAATAGACGTTCTTTTGACATGGACATCGGTTGTCTGTAAATAATACAAATTTGATTAGTTAAATACATAAATGACAAATTGGAAAACGTTAAGAAATGTATTAGATTAGATTAAACTTTATTGTCATTACACATGTACAAGTACAATGCAACGAAAATCAGTTTATAAAGTGCAGATATAGAAAAACTTTAGTGATATTTACAGATGGATGTACTATCAACATTATATACAGGTTGTATTAGCTATGAACAGAGATTTAAAATAAATTATTATATATACAGGTTGCTATTAATAATCAGAAGCGTACAGATAGATAAACAATTACAAGTGTACAGTATATGTATAGTTCAAATGAATGAATCAGTCAAATGTAGTGCAATGAATGTGTAATTTTTAAATGTGCAAATGTTAAATAGTGCAATGATAATGAGGAGTACAAGTTATGAGGACAGTGGGGGTGTATTAGGAGGGCAAAATAATTAGTGGGGGATAGAGTTAAAAAAGGTACTGCTCTGAGGAAAGTGCTGTTCCTTAAGGCTGATTTATACTGAAAAAATGTAACTACACATCGAAACGACACGTAGCGCAAGCTCTGTGATTGGTCGGCTTGGTAGTGGCCAAGTGGACAGATGATGTATCTCCTCCCTGTAGGCCGTCTCATCATTATTGCTGATTAGACCAATCACTGTGGTGTCATCTGCAAATTTAATGATGTTGGATCTATTCACAGGCCTACAGTTGATAGTAAAAAAGAAGTAGAGGAAGAGGCTCAGCACACAGCCCTGTGGTACACCAGGGTTAAGTGTGAAGATGGTGGAGCAGATGTGGCCTGATCTAACATTCTGAGGTCTTTTAGTCAGAAAGTACATAATCCAGTTGCAGAGAGACATGTCGATATCCAGGTCTCTAAGTTTAATCATTAACTAATGCCGAGTTCAGACTGCATGATTTTGAAAGTCGTTGCTGCTTTATTTTCACTGCAAGATGGATCGGCGACAGGGACTTGAACATTGCATGACTTTACAATTGGAAGAATCGCCGACAACTTCGTCTAAACTACGTCTCACAACCCAAAAACCATCTGTTTGACCAGGCCGTGGATTAATGCTAATATTGCAAATAATGTTAAATTTCTTACACAGACCAATCGTTTCACTTTACAGGACCTTCATCAGGAGCCATGGCTTTAAATTTGGACTTTATTCTTAAACTGAAAAACCCATCCTCATTCGCTGCCATTATTTGAATCACCATGTACCACAGATTCAGCTAAAAATCATCAGTAGTGTTATATTAACATTAAGTTAAATAAATATTAATTTATTTTCTTCTCGGCTTAATCCCTTTATTAATCTGGGGTCGCCACAGCGAAATGAACCGCCAACTTATCCAGCATGTTTTACACAGCGGATGCCCTTCCAGCTGCAAACCATCACTGGGAAACATCCATACACTTTCATTTACACACATACACTACGACAATTTAACTTACCCAATTCCCCTATACCGCATGTCTTTGGACTTGTGGGGGAAACCGGAGCACCCGGAGGAAACCCATGCGAACGCTGGGAGAACATGCAGACTCCACACAGAAATGCCAACAGATCCAGTCGAGAATCGAACTAGCGATCTTCTTGCTGTGAGGTGAGAGCACTTCCCACTGCGCCACCTGTTAAATAAATATATTTTTAAAAATAAAAAGAATTAATAACTGAAACCAGCTCAAATGTTATCGATTATTTATGTCATATGCCATGTCCGGAATAAAACACGTTACCGTAATGTACAATTGTTAGTCATTTGAGACTCCTTTATTACAGCACTCCCACAAGTTTCTCTCTTGCTTTCACAAATAAAATTATACATATTTAATGTATATCCATTATTAATAGCCTATCTAAGTTTTGCCCAGCTAGCGAAACCTGCAGGTAAAGGTAGCCTATAAGCATATTTTTTTCAGTGCATGCATTGACTGCATCGTCAAATACATAGAATATAAGTATGTTTGTGGCATGATAAGCATAGACATGAGCATTATTCAGAACATAGCCTATATATTTATTTTTAAAATGTTATATTTAGAAATTAAAACTATATTAAATTTCAACTTGCAGTAATAATCTAAACATTAAACTTTGCCTCGATGTTGTGCACTTAATATCCTTTAACACACCTAAATCTGACGATTGTCCCTTAAATGTATATTAAATTTATAATGATACTCAAATTTATTTAATCAACTGACTGTTTACTTGTGAATAGTTTGTTTAGTTACACTACATTTAAAGTGATTTCTTTTTTTGACTACCTTGTAATTTACCATGTTCAGCCAAGATAAAGACATGTAAAGGCTGATTTATACTTCTGCATCAAATGCACGTGTATGGTGTGGCGCAGCCTGCGCGCAGTCGAATAGCCCTTGCCGTGGCGCATCTCTCCAAAAATGTAACTACACATCGCAACAACACGTAGCGCACGCTCTATTAGTGGGCTTGGTAGCGCTTACGTGTGTGGGCGGGGTTGAGAGCCACGCCAACCCATTGGAGCGAGTGTTTACAAGTGTAGAGTCCCATGAAATAGCTCCAGGTGGAAACTGTTGCTTTTGTGTTTACCTTATGATTAAAGTTGTTGCATGACTGCTGGCTCCCGCCTCAGAATGAGCGAGTTTTATCTTCTTGTTCATTAAGGTAGTGTTCAGAAAAAACAAAACCCAAGCGAAGAAACTCCATACAGAGGGAACATATAAACCTACTGCTTTTGTAAGTGTTATTGTAAAACAACACAAACAGCGCGCACAAGTATAAGTGCTCAGCTGCACGCAGGGCAGGCGCCGTAGGTCACGCCAATCACTCAACGCAGAAGTACAAACCAGGCTTAAGGCCGAATGTGCATTGTGCAATTTTGAGCCAAATTCTGATGCGACTCTTCTTTGAATCAAATTAAATTTCAACTTTGATATTTGCTGTGCTGTGTTGATGCAATGTACAGGAGGGAAAAAAAGGTGAATAACCTCTCTTGGTCGGCAGATAGTCGAATCATTTTATGGCAGGTCAGACATTTTGGTCGCCTCTCTTGAGAGAATCACGGAGTTGAATCAAAGTTGAACTCTGTGTTTGTGCTCTTACTGCACCCTAGTACTGTGAAAACTAGGGAAGCAACAATAACATTTACTTATTCTTCACTTGTCACAAACCTGTTTGAGTTTCTTTGTTCTGATAAACACAACATAAGATCATTTGAAAAATGATGAAAACCGGTAACCATTGACTTCCATAATATGTTTTTCCTACTATGAATGTCAATGATTACTGGTTTCTAACACTCTTCAAAATATTTTGTCTTGTGTTCAACAGATAAAAGAAACTCAAAGGTTTGGAACCATGGAAACATGGTGAGTGAATAGTGAGTAAATTTCCTTTTTTGGGACTATTTAGATTTTTCAGAGCAACATATTCAGTTAAGAAACTGTTTACTGTAATGTGTAGTAATAAATGTTTTGCAGTTACTTACCATAAAAATGTTGATGGAAAATTCCAACTGCAGTACTGGACAGAAAATGTGTTTAACCCCTGACCAAGGAACTCAGCAAAGGAAACTTGTTGTACAGTACCTCAAATGAAAGGAAGCACATGATTATCATTTAGGTTCAAAATTCAGCACAAGTAACAACACGACCAACTTCTTAATCAACATATTGTTTACCGATTAATTATATTAGGATACATTAAGATAAATTACTTATTGAACAAATTGCTGAACGTGATTAATATGATTAAGATAATCGTCACTGCCTGATTGATACGATATAAAGTGGGTCTCAGACCAGACAAAGCACTGCATTAAATTCCATTCTTCAACGCCATGTCTTAAAAATATGTCAATTTATTTTAACCACAATATTTTCCATGAAGTTTTAGCACTTGTCTGCATGTGTTTTACGTTTGAACAACTAAAGGATTGCTTCAGCTTATTTAAAGAATATTATTTTAGTTAAATTACATTATCGTTGATGTAAAAGGCACTTTATGAATATGGAAAAAGTCACATTAAGTTAACCTTGCGCTGGACGTTTATCGGTGGCTGATAAACACTTGCTGTGAATATAAGTTAGCCCATTAAGAGCATTATAACCCAAAGACATAATTACAGCATCTCACGTAAAAAAATAAAGAACTGTATAAATGGACGCCCTTTACGTTAAAAGTTAATGTTACGCCAGTATGGGCACACATTCGACAACGTTCCTAAGACAGTCAGTAGTGCCCTAACGCCAGACCAAATCGTTCTATAACAAAATCAGTATGGTACTGTCCGTTCACAACTATCTAAACGCATGTTTAATGTTAACCATAGTAAAAAGCCACGGTAAATTCACAAAGGACTGAGCTAACGTTAGCAACGAAGCTTTTTTCGTTTGGAATGGCGGATCACGGACACTGTCGTCACACCAAAGAAAATGCTTATTCTCTTGAAAATAGCCATTTACTTCATTAAAAACATTATATATCAAGTCTACATAACTACATTCTTGCTAAAAAGAATCTTTAATATATTCTGCGACATAAAAGCGAGATTTGTCAAACCGTGTGTAACGTTAACTTAGCTTAACTTGCGAGCGCGCTCGACGGCTGGTCGCCGTGAAATTTAAAAACGACCAAAATAGACAGTCCGAACGAGAGACCATTTTATGCGTCTATGTTACCCACAAAGTTTTTTATGTAATAAACAGTCTGGTACAATATAAAATGTGACTTACTGTGCAAATGGATGTACAAAACTCCGGCTCTGGCGTCTTTCTTCAATCTGACTGGATTCTGTAAAACTTCCTTTGGGCTTTGGCGCCGAGGCAACGGAACATAACGCGCATGCGCACAAAGCTAACATAATTTTTTCTAATAGACTTTAATTAATTAATTTAGATTGGTTCAAAACACATCTAATTCACTTAAAACCGATTAAAAATAATTTAATAAAATCAACAACTAAATAAAATTGTTTAAAATAAACTAAATTGAATTATGTTTAATTTAATAGAGGGCTAAATCATTTTTTTCAGTGTAAAAGACTTATAGTCCCACCCTAAATTACTGATAGCTCCACCCTAAAGCACTAAAAGCCCCTTCTTAAAAAACTTATAGTCCCGCCTCAAATGACGGATAGCTCCGCCCTAAAGCACTGATAGCCCCTTCCTGAAAGACTTATAGTCCCGCCTCAAATGACCGATAGCTCCGCCCTTAAACACTGATTGCCATATCCTAAAAGTAAATCCCACCCCAAATTACTTACAGCTCCGCCTGAAAACACTGATAGCCCCGCCTTAAAAGACTTATAGTCCTGCCCTAAGGCACTGATAGCCCCTCCTAAAAGACTTATAGTCCCGCCTCAAATGACTGATAGCTCCGCCCTAAAGCACTGATAGCCCCTTCCTGAAAGACTTATAGTCCTGCCTCAAATGACCGATAGCTCCGCCCTTAAACACTGATTGCCATATCCTAAAAGGAAATCCCACCCCAAATTACTTACAGCTCCGCCTGAAAACACTGATAGACCTGTCCTAAGATTTAAAGTCCTGCCCCATATTACTGATAGCCCCAACCTAAAATACTTGTAGTTCCGCCCCAAATGACTGATCGCTCCACTCTAAAGCACTGATAGCCCTGTCCCAAGACTTACAGTCCCACCGTAAATTACTGATAGCTCCACCCTAAATCACAGTTAGTCCTGCCCTAAAATACTTTTAGTCCTGGGGTCCGTTCTTCGTACCTCGCTTAAATGATCTAAGATGATTTGGCAGATCCTGGATCTTTTAATCTTGATAACTGATCTCTCGCTAATTTGGTTCTTCAAACAAGTTCGCGAATCAGATTAGAATGTCTGGATGAACTGATCTGAGATCGCTGCGTGTGTTGTTAAGGACAGATCTATCGATCCTCGAAATCATGATCAGCAATGCAACGATTGGCTGACGGCACAGCAGCGTAATGACATCATCTGATTAATATTCAATTATCCATGTGAGCAAAATTACATCAAATTAGCAGTAAACGGCTTGTTAAATATGACACGCAGTAACGTCACATTTGTTGTGAGCTGCAGGCTTTACACTTTCATTTGTCAAGACAAGAGTATTCATCATGTATTTCAATGCAAATCAATGTATTTAGTTCTACATTTAGAAAAGATTTTCTTTATTATAGTACAGTTTTTTAATCGGTGTAAAGAATAACTGGTTGTTTCCAAAAGCATTTTGATATTGGTAAAGGCGTCTGCAACTTTTTTGAAGCATCAAATCACTGGCATATTAACTGTCAAAACATGTTTATGACTGCTGAAATGTATTATTGCTTTTAAAAAAAGTGATACATATTGTGCATTTCTATTATACACAATTTGTACTAAAGCGATCTAAAAAGTTCATATCAATAAGTTTTCTCTTTGCACCACCAGGTGGCAGTCTTTGTACTTTCATTTCGAGGGTGCAGATTGCATACGTTATATTAATATGTAAAACTTTATTTATTTTATTAATGACTATAACTTTAAATATATAGTTAAAAACTACTATTTTGTAGTGTATAAGTGTATATAACTTTTACTGTAAGAAAATATCAGAACTCGGTACATACTTTCTGTATTATCTTTGCTTGAACTGAGCCGATCTAATCCTGTTTATATGATTTAAACCTGCTCCCGATCAGGTTTGACCTAGCAGAACTGTTGCCATGACAACAACTCTCGGATCAGCTTTGAAGAACGAAACGATCCTGGATCGTGTCAAATCGTCAATATCCAAATCCAGCTAACTGAGTAATCCACGTACGAAGAACGGATCCCTGCACTAAATGACTGATAGCTCCGCCCTAAAGCTCTGGTACCCCCGCCCTAAAAGAATTATAGTTCTGCCCCAAATGTCTGATAGCTCCGCCCTAGTGTGTTGATAGGCCCCTATTAAAATACTTATAGTCACACCATCTTTTTTAGACGAGAATGTAGTTGTTTAGATTGCAACTATGCAGTTTATTTATAAGGATAGTGCCTGTTTTAAAATATTTATAGTTTCTGAGAGACAGCATGTCATTGTCCATCCACAAGGTGGTGACAGAGGCGGCATTATAAGCCCTTAGAGAAGGAAAAATAAAGCTTATTTTAAACTACAGCCGATCAAATCATTATAAAACAGGTAAGTCTCCTGTTTTTGCTTCTGCAGACTAGTTCAGTAAACAGAAAGAAAGAAGAAATGCCCGCATGTGTTTAGCGTTTTTCCTCTTCACAAACACAACAGTATTCTGGTAACATTAGTGATGGCGTTACTTTGACTTTTTCGGGGTTAATTATTGTGATTTCCCGATATCTACAGAGAAATACTGGGAAATCTCTGTAGACTGATGGCATTTCATGGCGTTCAGCCTTTTAATCTTAAAATGTGAGCAAAATCACCCGTTTTGTCCTCACTTTAAACATTACGCTAGAGAATCATTCAAATACTAGCTAGCTAGTGAATGAGCAACAGTTTCTGCTGTTCTGACGTCAGCTGCAGTTGTGAATAAATGGCGAAAGAAAGTAGTTCCTCATATCAAAAGGATTTTTAGACTCTCCGAGTTTGGTTTTCTTTTTTATATACACGATTATACCTTCAAACTGTTGTGTATTGCTCATATAATATACTATTTTTTTGTCAACATTCTCACATTTAGTTGCCAAGACAATATTTCTAAATGAATGTTTTAATGTAATATTGTATTTTTCATTTTTGGAGCTTTATTTAATTTGTATTTTTTTCTCAGACACAGTTTGTGATGATCACATACAAGGCATTTAGCATGTTACAACTATCGCCTATTATAGGTGGGATATTATTTTAAGATTTTGCAAGAATGCATTTTTTTTTTTACATTTAGGGCTGTTTTGTGTGCTTCATTTTTATGTAATTTTAAATTCATCTTTAGTGTAACATATTTTAGATTTAAAATAACTTTTATTCTTAAATACATAATTTTTTTTATTAAATTGTTAATAATATTTTAAGTATCCACTGTAATAAGATAATTGGAGCTTTATTTAATTGGCCTAAAATACATTTTTACAGTTTTAGCAACTCTTTTAAAACCCTGATTACTCTTTGTAATGAGCACATACAATACATTTAGCATGCCGCAACCATCTCCTTTTGTAATTTCCTTGCAGTTTCCTCTGCTCAAAGTCAAAAAGAGCCCAAGATTAAACCCTGCTGTCCACCATTCCTCTGCTACAAGAGAAGAGTGATTGAGAGAGGAGCTAGAGTAAAATAGCGAACTGAGATGGAATTGGATTTGTCCTCTCAACGCGATGGAGGAGAGTGATAATCTTCCTCTTGTTTCACACTGCGACTTCAACTTAATTAGCTCGTCTTGCAAAGCGTCTGCTCTCCAATCAGCCTCCATTTTGAGAGGGTCAAATCTGCTCCTCTCCAGCAGCAAATGTCCCCTCGTGCCCACACACACACACACACTCCACCATGGGGGTACGATTAGTACAAATCACAACATGGGGACAGTTTTATACCGCATTGCATAATAAAAAGTTGCACCAGAGGTGAAATATACACTGTTATTCAAAAGTTTGGAGTCACTAGGATTTCAGTTCACCTAGGACAGTGGTCCCAAACCCCCGGGCCGTGGACCGGTACCGGTCCATGGATCAATCAGTACCGGGCCACACAAGAATTAATTATCTTTAAGTTGGCAGATAAAGTAGCTGCGTTTAAAGCTAAACTGAGGCATATTGGACATGTTTTAAACATTAGCTGGGATTTTGTGTGAGACTGAGCCTGCGCCCTCACTCACCAAGCTGGTGCACGATCATCAGTCTTCGCTGTTAAAGGAGTCTGAACGCTACTTCCCAACCTCAAAGGACCCACAAACGGCTAAGGAATGGATACGTGACCTATTTGTCAACAAACCAGCTGAATCCAGCATGTCTGTGCAAGAAGAAGACCAACTGCTGGAGATCGTAAATGACGGCGGCCTTAAAACCGTGTTCGAGACAACAACTCTGCCGGTGTTCTGGATTAAAGTAATGGCAGAATACCCAGAGATCGCTAACACAGCGCTGAAAACCCTGTTGCCATGTCAAGATGTACATGATATGCGTGTTCTGGCTGTTTCACGGTAGAGATGCGCGGATGGGCTATTATTTCATCCGCAACCGCATCACAAAACTCATCATCCGTCCGCCATCCATCCGCACTCATAAACAAAATATTTATTGGAAGTCATCCACAGCAGTACAGAAATGACACTTATAGAAATTAAAGTCAACATGAAATCCAAATTCATCCTGTTTGACCCTTTTCAACATGCTCATGATGTTACTGTGAAGAATGAATCAGTAAGCATTACTCCAAAGAAAGTAAAAATGATCAATATAATGCAATAATGACTATTCATTTTAACCTATCTCACTAAAACCAACTAGTTAATGTTCCTCCAATTCCATAAGAAAATGTAAATATATAACAAATAAATAAATCTATAAAACTAGCTAGATCATGTAATATACAAAGAATTGGACGAACAATAAAAACAATTAGGAAAACCAAAATACAACATACACTCACCGGCCACTTTATTAGGTACACCTTACTCGTACCAGGTTGGACCCCCCTTTTGCCTTCAGAACTGCCTCAATCCTTCGTGGCATAGATTCAACAAGGTATTGGAAATAATCCTCAGAGATTTTGCTTCATATTAACATGATAGCATCACGCAGTTGCTGCAGATTTTCTGGCTGCACATCCATTATGTAAATCTCCCGTTC